TGAATAATTACATTTATGGTAACTAAAGTGCTGTTAAAACCAAGGCAGACCGAAAGTGATTGTTTCCATTAGCAACTAGTTCCAAACATAGCTGATTTAGTACGACCGGTGACCGAAATAGACCGGTTACCGGTGGACGGTGAACCGGTGGACGGTGAACCGGTGAACCGGTGATACACCGTCACCGTTGCATCCCTATTTGTGGCTGTGGGCGTGGGCGTCAGGGTGAGCGCCAGGGATGCGTGTACAAAAGATCCAGCTCCACACCCACACCCTCAGCACAAATTGTCACCCCCAAATTTTTACTGCTCCATTACACTCTTTTTTACTAAAATATATGAGTTTCTGTATGATTTCAAAAAACATCAGAATGAAAATTTATTCTGGCTTATATCATAAAAAATATATTGGAAACCATCATCACCAGTAGTTTGAAACAAAATCGAAGAATTCTGAAAAACTGTAACTCTTGCATTAGATTATGAAAACAATCGAAACGAAAACTGGACTCGTCTACTATGAAATAACGAAATTTTCAATAGAAAATTCCCAGACGACCTTCCAAACTATATGTATATATAAAGTAAAAAACAACGCTTGACAAAGAATCAGTTCATCTTTGCAGATATGGTATTAGAAAAATACGTTTCTTTACTGTTTGAATAATGCAGTCCGTTCTAGTTTTCAAAAACGACTGATAGAAAAGGAATTTTTTACTGTAAACTCTCTATACCTCTTTTGAAAGAAGATTGTTTGATTAATCATAATAAGGCTTCTTGATTTCATTTTATGAGATGTCTTTTTCTTCCCCTATAATACAGATTATCTAGTTTTAATTTTGATCGATTTGACCTTCGCTAGAATATACATAACTGGTACTCTTTATTTTTTATACAAGTGATGCGATTTACAGTGTATACTAAGAATACAGTACAAGAATAGTAATTAGTAATAATAAAACAATATTTATTAGGAAACAAAATTTTTGATGCAATATGAGACTTGTTAGTCTATCCCATAGGTGCAATGGTTCTTTTTCGAGTTATGAATCGTACAAATTTACTTCTATTTTCTTTCAGTTGAGGTAATGTCATAATAGAAGCAATAGGGCAAAGTAGAATTGTACAATAGTTAAAAAATTGTGCATATTGTGTAAACCTCAATGTTACACTACGAGGTACACCACAAAGATCCATAAAATGCACTATTGTTAATGGTAACGAGAATATGAGATATATGATTGAGACAAACAGCAGTTGAATAGTCATTTTCCAATGTTTTCGCCATTGTAATGATTGACCTACACGATGCTTTTGCCAGCAAATACGTATTAATAAACCAATACTGAAGGCAACAATAATTAAATTTGGCAGAATTTGATGTACAATTGTATCGTATGTATAAAGTGAAAAATGTTTTGTCAAGCAAGATTCAACACAAATCTTCTGAAAATTATTAAAACTATTTTCACAAGGTGGAAAAAATATGACAACAATATAATAGGTGAGGCAATAGAGAGTTAGTATAATTAGAGGCAGATAATGCACTAGAAAGCGTTTCTTTTTTGTTGATACCCATCTGTCGTGAAAGATGAAAATATGTCTTTCAATGGTAGCCCATGCGAAGAGTATTGTCTGTGTAAAATAAAGTCCCCAGTCAATAAATACCCATAGAGTACAAAAGAATTGTGTTCTTCTCCATATGCCTTTCTGACGATAATAATAAAGCATCCATGGATAAATAGTTACTTCATAAATTAAACCGATAAAAAGAAAAATAATAATAGCATGATTATGAAGAGCATGTCGTAGTGTTCGATGTAACAAAAGATAGCAGAGAGAAAAAACTGAGCAACTGATGGATGGAATAAGAAACATAAGGTAGATCCAGAATTTGACTGCATTCGATATGGGTTCATTGTTAACAATCGATGATTTGTTGGTGTAGTTCAAAGTCTCATTAACACTGGACATTTCACATCAAAGAAGAATGTATCAATGAATAAAAATTCAAAGTTTTGAAATAAATTAAAGATTTTGGTATAAATACGAGTATTTTCGATAGTTATTTTGAATTCAAAGGATGATGCAAATTGTAACCGAAATAATATCACACACAAATCTAAAAGGTTGAATGGCCAGAACGATACTAGGGTTTTTATTTCATTTCAAACCACTGACAATTATCCTAAATGCCCGCATCAAAATATGACACCTACATAATTTGAACGATAATGCTAAGAGATTCGGGATTAAATTTTTTGAATCATTGGAAGAGGATCTGACATATTGTTCGAAATGTTCATCAAACTCAAATAGTTCGTTCTTTTTTTGGGTGACATACTACGTAAAGATGGGTGAAAACAGACTCTTTCTTATCCCATCTGAGACAAGTGCCCAGATTATTACTCTATTCTACTCTGCAATAATGGATAGTTAAGATATGCCAATGAATTTCTACCTTCATGATATTCTACGTTTGGAATCAATGTTTTTAGAGGCATGCGCAGTATGATTTTCACTCTTCTATTTATCATATTTTACAGTAAAGAAAATATTGTAAGATGTCTAGAACAGTTTTTTACCTGATCAATTAAAATTTATGAAATAGCATATATCATAAAGGTAGTATAAAACGACAAAAACAAAACATTGAGAACTAGCTTTTTTTAATAAAAAAAATGACAGATGTGCAAAGACACGTATGGGTAATAAATATCATATATAATACAGCGTCTTTTTACAATTTATGAACGTATTGAGGACTATTCATTGTTCTTCTCATGGTCTTTACACCGAAATGAGATTATTAAATATTAGTTCAGTCTTAGAAAATTACAGCAAGAAATAAATAAAAATTAATATTTAAAAAAGTGTGTGAACATGAAAATCATATCCAATAGAACAATATATTGAATTTCTTTTTTTATAATTCAACTGATTTTTGCCAAATCAAAAACTAAAATATTTATTGCAAATTCTCCGGCGATTTTTCATTGATTAAAAAGAATCGTGCTGTAATAGCATAGTGATTTTCCACTTGAAACTTATGCTAACTTTGTGTATGGACTGACATTGTCGTGAATTACGTAGTTAACTCGTTCATTGACTCTTGATGAATGTAAATCATAACTTCTAAGAACTCGATATTAAACATTGATTCGCTTGCATTTATCATAATTCAATAGGAGGAATTATATGAACTGTGAGTATTTGATTCACATTACTGACATCAATATTGATCGAGAGTGATTAGCGATAGGTACAAATAATATTGATAGATCTTAAAAATTTCCTATCACTTGATACGTTACACCCAAAAAGTAATAAAACAAACTGCACGTTTTGATTATTATTCAAAGGAACCTAGTGGAAGTATTTGTGATCATTTTACTATGATACAACTCTCTGTGAGCTGCTCATCATATGGTAGAGGAGTTTCATTTTGTGAAATATTGTTACTGATATACTTTATCAAAACAAGATGATACCTGCGTATTGTGGTCTCTGAGTAGCAATTATTGTGGAGATCTTACCTTTGAAAATTAGTAAGTAACTTCTTTTTCTTCAGCATTCACTTGAGGGCTAGACCTGAAGTCTCAAATAAATGTGAAAGAACAGTTTAGTATAACAACAGAATGCGTCATAATCTTGTGTTTCTATACAGATGAATTATGACATATCACGAGAGCGAATAGGTGCTTAAAGGTCGACAGGGAAAAGGTCGAAAAATAATAATACAGAAAGGCAGATTGTCGAATGAACAAAAAACATTGAAAAAAGCAGGATAGGATAAATATTAATAATGCCATCGAAAATATATCCTATCAGCTCAAGATAAAACAAAATTATCACGTAATTAGCCTGTTTGTCTGTCTATCAATGTGAATGTTTCGTTAAGAGGATATAACAATAATGATTAGTTAATAGAATATGTGTATATATAGTAGCTTGTATTCATTGTTATAAATTTCATTTCGATCGTGCCTTATTTTGTTCTGAATATTGTCATGAGTAATACGCCTACAATAACATTCTCACAAGACAAAAAAGGCAAGCGGGTAATTGCCTGTGACGGTTATGAGTATCATTTAAACAAGTCATGTTCGAAGGTCAAGTACTGGCGTTGTAAAAATCGTCTCTGTGCTGCTGTTATTCATACTGATATCAACGACCAATTCAAAGTGCGCAAAGGTGATCGCGCAAATCATCTATCTTCGCCGGAACACATCGAAATTCTTAGCTTTAAATCTAATATAAAACAGCGCGTAGTTACTGAAGCTACACCAAGTGGGCGTATTTACGATGAATAATTAGCCAAAACTCAATTGTGTCAAACTGCTCTAATATAGCCGCATCAGCTCAAGATACTAGTAAGTATCTTTTGTTTGTCATCATTAAATCGAATTCGTCGACTTGAAACTCCTCTTCTACCAAAATCATGTCGTTTTGATATTTCTACTCTTTATAATCATACAAGCAACATATAACGATTTCTACTTTACGACAAAATGAGACGAAATAAAAGAATCTTTATTTTTGCTACAGATGATCAACTGCGTGCTCGCTCTTCTCACATGTCGCTCTAGTTCTATCTATAAGGAAATACTTCAACAACTCGAAGAAGAGACTGAGCGCCTTCCAATGGACTTTGTACCTAATCAAATAACAACTAACTTTGACAAGGCACTTGTAAAACCATTACGAGAACAGGTAGGCAATTTCTTTAAGATATTATTAGCTCATCATTTAGTATCTAGTTTTATGGGGCTCGTCGCACCGGCTGCTTTTTCCAAGCCATTTACAGAAAGATTCGAGAACTGGGCTTAAGTAACACATAAAAAGATGATGGAAGTGTTTGCAATTTTTGTCGTCGTCTAATGGCCTTACCCCTTCTACCACTACATGAAGTAGAATTTGTATTTGAAGAACGTACTGAACAACGCCCAGACGTTCTTGCACTACTTTTCGTCTATTTCGATAATTATTGGATGAAACAAATATCTTTGGCTTTATGGAACGTTTCTGACCCAAAAGCACGGACTAACAACAACTGCGAAGGTGAGATCTCTTTTTAATCTGTTTTTAATGGTTCTATTCCACTAGAGTTTAGGCTGGCACAATCGCTTCAATCGTCGTGTCGATAAGATGCACCCTAACATATGGCATTTTATCGATCTTCTCAAGAGAGAAGAAGTTCATTCCCAACAAAAGTTTCTCCATGTGAAGAGTGGCTTCTACTCCATATTACAATATTATTCGACTGTTTATTTTTGTTTTGAATATTCTTATTCTTGATATGAATTTTTGTTCCCTTAATTTATTATCTGTGTAGTATTTGTTTCCTTCATTTTCTGAATAATCTGTAACTTATCATTTTTCGATAAAATATTTATGAATAAATAGATGATTCGAATTTTACTACTATTGTTTTCGACCTTTTCGTACTTTACGACGAAAGACGTATCATTGAGAAGTCGGGTCTTGCAAGAATTCCCCCTACAGGATAATCATTTGCATGAGCAATGCAGTATCAGATCATCCTGAAGACTTCATTAGAATCATCTTCAACGACAGACTAAATCTTCTGAATCTATTCTTTTTATCCAGTTTCAGCAAAGAAGACATACTGTTCGTTTAGTCATCCTTTTATCAACATTTTTTTCAGCTATAATAAGTGACCCATTCGATTCTTTCAACACTTTGAAAATGAGAATAGTAACATTATTTTTTTCTATCGAAATTCTTCTTCGAAAAACCGAATCCATATTTTTCTCGGTTATTTGATTATTTTCCCGTTGAGTTTTATACGTTGAAATCGAAAATAATAGAGATATACAAGAAAAGAAAACGTATCAGCCAAAGAATTGAAAAGCTGACGCAAAATAAATAAACAGATATAAACACTCTCACTTTTTTATCGACCATCAAAAAAAAACAATTATGAAATACAACGATAAGAACAAAATTCCATGTTCATCTTGCGGATGTATAAGTAGTCGAAATAAAATAAAAAACTGTGGTAAACATATTTTTGTTTCCATCGTTGAAATCGGATTATTTATCACCACCAAACAATTTACCAAGTCCACCAGGTCCACCGCCTTGCTGAAATTGTCGCATCATTGATGATAAACCCGATGTACCACCTATTTTTTTTTTTATAAAACAAGAGTGATTTTCTCAGCTAAAATTTTGCATATGAACTTACCTATTTGATGTAAAATTCTGGGGTCAATCAATTTACTCATTTGACTGTTTAATTTTTGCATTTGTGTTGGATTAACATTTTTGGTCATATCACCTGATTTAAATAGACCTTTAATACCACCCATCTTCTTAACCATTTGTGAGAATTTTGAATATTGTGCTATTAAATCTTGTACATCGCGTATGGAAACACCAGCTCCGCGAGCAACACGCGTATACCGACCAGGTTGATTTTTAAATAGTTTGGCTCCATCAAGATGATCAAGTTCTGTATTTTATTAGAATGAAAAATACTTCTAATTAGATACGAAACATTTTTCTCTTCAAATTTACACCTACCATTGTCGTTCATACTGTCCATAACACACATCATTTTTTTCAAACGCGCTTGTGATTCTTGTTCACCACTTTTCGATATAAATTCAGTGCCAAACCCAGGAATCATGCCCTATTTATTTCAAAAAATGAAATGAATTCTTTTCAAAAACAACAAACAAACCATTATCTGTCCGAATGGACCCATTTTCATGATGTTTTGAAACTGTTCATACATATCACGCAACGTAAATTGACCTAAAACGAAATAGGTTGCACTATTATTTATTTTCTTCAATAATTGATATGCGCGAAGCTTTTAAAAAATATATTTGTTTGTGTGTTTTTGTACGCATATTTCCCAAAAGGTGCGATTTCATATTCTGACAAAAATTTGTCTATTCTTCCTTACAGAAAGAAATTTGTCTCCGACTGATTCTATCACTCAATAGCCCATGTTTCATAGTTACCATGTTTCAATTTTTCAATTAATTCTTCATTATCTTCCAATTTTAGATCGTTGACTTTTTCAACTAAACCTTGTATATCACCCATACCTAAACACAAAATAAAACATAATTGAATCATATCTAACATCGTTTATAAATTATATAACGTACCCAATAATTTGCTGATAAATGGTTTCGTTTTAAATACTTCAAAATCATCGATATGTTCACCTGTACCAATAAATATGATTGGACTTTTTGTTGCAGCAACACTAAACAACTTATAACATGTTGATCATCCTATAATTACCTCTTTCAAAAAACATACGCGCTTAGAGCTCCACCACCTTTAGCATGACTGTCAAGTTTAGTAACAATAACTGAACCAACATCTACTTTTGATTTGAATGCTTGTGCCTTAATATTATGATTAAAAAAAATATAAAATAAACCTTATACTAAAATAGAACATACTTGTAATTCGCAAGCTTGACCAATACTAGCATCCATAACGAAAATGATATTATCAGGTTGCTATATGAGAAAACAAAAAGTAAATTCAGTCGACTAGTTATTTAATCTTACAATTCCGTTCGAAATTTGAAGCATCTCTTCGAATAATGATTCTTCTTGTGCATGTCGACCACTTGTATCAACAACAATTAATTCAAAATTATCTTTACGAAATGTCTCAACACCATCCACAGCGATTACTAATGGATCACTTTCTGTGTAACTAAAAACAATGAATTCAATTTTCATACGCTGCACGAATTTCCATCAATAGAAAAATAACAATTACCTGCCGTAAAATGGTATACGTGCTTTAGTTGCATTTTGTTTCAATTGATCAAATGCACCAGCACGAAATGTATCAGCACAAACTAATGCTGTTTTCCAGCCACGTCTCATATAATGGTAAGCATACTAAAATTTAGTTGCAAATATAATTTCATTCGTAATCAAACAGAATTCTTACTTTTGTACATGTCGTGGTTTTACCGCTACCTTGTAAACCAACAAACATAACAATATTCGGTTTATTTTTGACTGGCTGCCATGGTTTTACTTCAGGATCAATAAGCTATTGTATTAAAAAGGGTATGAAATCTTCTTATTCGTCTCTCCTATGTTAATTTTACATACTCGAACGAGTTCTTTAACAACAGCTGATTGAATCAGTCGACGTTTATTCAAACCAACAGCAGTTTCTTCGAAGTTTATTGCTTGTCTATTCAAATCAAAAGAATATTTTACTTTTATTCCTAGCGGTTTATCACTAAGTCGCTTAAGTTATTCTTGTACTAGGACTATAGGAATTAACAAAATCGTTAAAACTCATTGCTTCGATTAAAAACTGAACCAGAATTCTTTTCACAATCGACTATGTCAAGTAGAATGTCCTGTGATCCGCTCGGGCACGTGCACTCATTAGTATTTTTCTTACTTGACATTTTCACGTAATTGTTTAACTAAGCGTACGTTAACATCAGCTTCCAATAGAGCACGACAGATTTCTCCCAATGCTTCACTTAGAACTTGTTCATTAATAATTGTTGCATTACTTAAATTTCTTAACGCTGTCGAAAGACGTCGACCAAGATCGGCAAGAACCATCGTTTATTTATGTATTATCTAGAATAAACATACAATTATACATACTTTTTTTTTATTTGACAACAAACGTATATATTTAATATATATATATATATATATATAAACAGATAATTTTTCTTTTTATACAAACGAAAAAGAAATGTTTTCATTTTAGTGGGAAATTGCTCGATAAAAAATATTATATGGTTTAGACATATGACTCCAATATTGTTCAAGTAATTTATCCAATGTTAAAGTGTTTTCAACAGGTACATCATCATTCATCTTAATAAACCATTGAAATTCTTGTTCAATATATGATGAATTTTGTTGTTCGATTTTCATTCTTGTATTGATAAATTTCGATAGATGATTTATAGTTGCATTTAATGGTGTTAATATTTTTCTTGCTGCATGTGCATTAATATTACTTATTGGTTTCAGTTGTAATTCAATATCATTGACAGTGGGTGTTGAGCCCGCTGATGATGATGATTCCGAAATACGTTTTTTCTTTTTTTCTTTATTCTGCTGATTGTGTTGTTCATCATCCGATGATAAACTTGCTCGTATGGGTTTTTTCGATTGTTTATTTCGATTATTGATTAATAACTCATCACTATCATTCCGTATTGGAAATAATTTTGAAATCAATGCATCAATATTTTGATCTCGACGGAGACACCGTTTTGATATCAATTTTTTTCGACATGTTGGACATTCTTTATTTCCACTGCGTAATGCTGTTTCGATACAATCACAACAAAAACGATGTAAACATTCTTTTGTCGTACGTGTATTGCGTAAAAGATCCAGACATATAGGACATGTTAATTCACTTTGTAAAGATTTCGGACTTATAAGTAATTCTTCATCGTGTAATAATTCATGTGGTTTACGTTGTTGTTCATAGGGAGTTAAATCCCATGTCAGGCCAGTTTTGAAACCCGAAGAATTGTTCGGTGTATCGGATGAATTCATTTGTGAAGAGTTCGAAACGTTTGTACTTGTTGAACGACTAGAATAGGTTTTCGAATAAAATGAGATAAGAAATTCATAAAAGAATAAGTTACATCATTATTGTCTTTGAATATTAATAAACAAGAGGCATTGAGAAGTGAAGTTTTCAAAGGAAAATCTAAAATGAAATATTGTTTATTTTTTTGTTAGTGAAATGGAAATTTCTCTAGATCCATGAGACTTTTCTGTATATTTTTGGTGATTGATGAGACCTATCAATATTATGAATGAGTAAATCACGTGATATCGATCTGAAGAGGTGATGTGAAAATAAATTTTCAAAAATATCAATGTTTTTCAACAAATATTTTCTTATGATCATGAAAAATCGATGTAATTTCATTATTAACTATACGGAATTTTTCATAAAGTGTAATACTTTCTACCATACTTCCTATTCAAAGCTACAATAATGATGCTAATGAAAAAAAACAAAAAAAAAATAAATGGATATTTCGTGTTACACGGAGAACGAGTGAGAAAATAAATAGATGACGAAGAGTGCCAACATGAGCCAATCGAATATGATAGATTAGGTTATTGTTAATAAACAGATATAATTAAAATAGAACTGAAAATTTTTTAAAACATTAAAATTGCATCTTAAAACTAAAAAACCGAATAAATAAAATTAGCCATGATCATTTGATTGATAGCGCCATCTATTGATGAGTTCTGATTCTGCTCAATATGTTGATACAGAACAAAATGATTCTAGCAAATACATATGATTATTAAGTTGACTAAGTGATTTGCTTTCTAGTCTAAGAAATACAGCCAGCTTTTTTTTATTGATTTTTGAAATGAAAAAGATCGATTCTAATGTAGCATTTCCCAAAAAATACTTTTAATGGTGCGTTTCGAAAACGCACTTGTTTAAATTTGAACCCATCCAAAAAATGACGTAGGACATCAGTTCATTTTCGTTCTTATGAATAAATTATGATGGTCTATCAAACAGAAATACAAATGAATATTGTGTGTTACGTATCAGAAGGAGAAAAAAATGCCAGATGCTTTAAGTCAATACGATTAGTCATCATTGTGTGAATTTAGGTTACACGTAAAATAGATAATTTCCATAAACTAGTAAATAAAACATAGATAATATTCACACTGGCAATAGAATTGAATGAACAAATATCATATCACTCACAGAAATTAATTACAGTTTTTTTCTTGTGAAGTTTCAAAAAATTATGTTGAATTAAAGCACTAAGGTGTATATTCGATATTGGATAGTTTGACTAATACGACGCATGAGCGGCTACCTAGCTTTTTTAAATTTCAATATGCTATTACAAATAGTTAGGCATAATAACGAGAGAATAATGTATACAAGGGGCAAAATAGTTAAAACGAAAACGTAACGATGAAAACATACCTATTAAAGGTATCATCGGAATATTTAAGTATTACACATATCATTTTCAAGCAAAATCGGGTAACGAATAATAGTCAATCATCACATGTCACCCAATGAAGTAAACGAGATCGGTATTTTTCTAGAGAACACTCTTGCATTCCTGCTTTTTCTTTTCAGAGGAACGTCTCCGGAAAAAGAAGTCGAATCTGAGAAAACAACATTTTGGCAATGATTTCGTACTAGAAAACAAGATAAAACACCCACGACAGTAGCGAACATTCGAAATTTGGTAAATCTACTTGTTCGTATCGATTGAAATGTCTCTGCGATATTTAGTTTCGCTGTGCTAAGTTTCTTGAATTATTTTACATACTGCTAGCAACGATTGCTTCAGTCATTTTTGGCGTTTGTCTCCCTGTCGCCTTGATAGCATTTGGTGATGCAGTAGATTCATTTATGTTCAGTCAACCTTACTTATTTCGCTGACCAATTTTGTCCATCTGGTTCATTGGTTATGATCTTACTGGTCGCACAAGTAAATAAATCAATATGTTAATAATTATTGCCTGTGTTAATCTTATATCGGGCTATGTACGAGTTGTATTATTCGAGATAACAGCAGAAAGACAATGTCGTACTATTCGACAGATTTGATTTTATTCCATTCTTAAGAAAGATCTTAGTTTTTTTCGATACACATAAAACTGGTCAACTCAGTTTGCATATGACAGATGATATCAATAAAATTCAGCATGGTATTGCTAATAAGCTTGGTTCAGTTATTGAGACATGATGACGACTTTTATCAGTTGTACTATTATTGGTAACATATATTTGCGTGACTGAAAAAGAATAAAGACTGACTGATTAATGATTCATTTAGGATTTATACGAGGATGGAAATTGTCGCTTGTTATAATATCATTTGGATCAGTCATTTTCATCACAATAGCCATTTTATTCAAAGTGAGATTTTTTATAATGAGGAAACAGTCTCGTGTTTCATAGGTTGTAATTAAACTGACTATAATTGAATTGAAAGCATACGGAAAAGCTGGAATAGTTGCTGAAGAAGTCATAAGTTCAATTCGTACTGTACTAGCCTATAATGGACAAGAAAAAGAAATACATAGGTCAGTAGTATGTTTTCATTTCGATTGAAGAGACTATCTTTTTTTAATAAATAGATATGAACAATATCTTGATGAGGCAACAAAATGTGCTATTAGAAAAGGTGCGACTAATGGCATTGCAACTAGTATCACATATTTTCTTCTGTTTTGTGTATATGTATTAGCTATGGTATTCTAAGTTTGGGACAGGCAAGTCCACTTATTCAAGCATTCTATGAAGCTCGAGTTGCTGCCTATGTTATATGGCAAATAATTGATGAAGTAAACGAGTCTTTCTAGATTATGACAAATATGTTTTTGTTCCTATTGTAGCCATCAAAGATTAACATGAATTTATAAAAGATGATCTCATTGGTGATATTCAATTTTCAAATGTTGATTTCTTTTATCCTTCAAGATATGATGTTCCTATTCTCACTAATTTATCATTTTATATTAAACATGGTCAAACTGTGGCTCTTGTTGGCTCATCTGGATCAGGAAAATCAACATGTGTTCAATTATTACAGAAATTCTACGATTCGCAATCGCTAATCAAGAACCAGTTTTATTTCATAAAACTATTCGTGAAAATATCTTGTTGGGATTTGATTTAGCTACTAATGAACAAGTTCATCAAGCAGCTAAAATGGCTAATGCACATGATTTCATCATGACACTTTTCGAGTATAGCTACAAGTTCACTTGATAATGAAAGTGAAAAGATAGTTCAACAAGCCTTGGAGCATGCTTCTCAAAGTATGCTATCGTTTCAAGAGAGAGAGCTCAACTGTTATTTTTCTGGTTTGTTCGTAGACAGAACAATATTAATAATTGCACATCGTTTATCAACGGTTCGCCGTGCTGATAAAATCATAGTGATGCAGCAAGGTGAAATAGTTGAAGAAGGTGATCATGAACCATTGATAAAAGCTCAACGAACGAAGTTATTACTCATTCAGTCATGTCTGCTTGGGGTGAAAAGAAAAATTCCCTAGCACATCGGTGATTCACTTTAAAATGAGGATGAAAACAAGATTAAAATAGAGGTAATCAAAATAAATAATTGAACATTCAAGTGCGAGAGCTAGGAGTGATTTTAATAGAAGAACAAAGAACGTACGACGTTAGCTATCTTGCGAATGAACAAACCCGAATCGATACTGATTGTAATTCGATGTATAGTAGCTTCAATAAACGGAGCACGAGAACCGGTATATTGCATTATTCAAACGAAATTAGCTATAGTAAATATTTGAGGGCGTTTTCACCTTTGAAAAATGTATATTATTTTGCCCACAGCAGGTATATTGATCGATATATTTGTTTGTCATGTTTCAAGTATGTTTCTACATAGGGTTATATATTTGCACGATCGGGTGAGGCTCTTACCAAACGACTTCGATCAAAAGCATTTCGAGCTATTCTTCGTCAAGACATTGCTTTTTCGACCAGAAAGAACGTAGTACCGGTGCATTATGTACACGTCTTGCAACTGAAGCATCAGCTGTGCAAGGTGCAAGTGGTGTCCGATTTGGTTTGATTTTTCAACATATTTTCTTTCGTTAATATTATTCGGAGGCTTTTTGCAAATGCGATTAACAGCTTAATATTCCAGCAAAGACAAGCACGTCCTAGAGAATGCTGGAAAGGCTTGTGGAAATGGTTTATTTTTTCGATTATATTCTTTGTATTATTCTACTGAAGATCGCTATAGAGGCTATTCAAAACATCCGAACAGTGATGCAGTTGACGAAAGAAACGCATTTGTATGATGAATATTGTCAAATACTCAATACTATTCATAGGTAGGGCTACTTTTTTTTCTAATCTTCATCTAACATATACCCTGATTTCACCTACACTCAGATCATCTATTCAACACGCTCATATTCTAAATTTTTTATTCTCAATAACAAGTGCCACTGTTTATTTTTCCTTAGCAGCTTTCATTGCTCTCGGCGCGTTTTTTGTTGATCGAGGAGCAATTCCTTTTGAAAATATGTTTCTGTATGTGTTACTAGAAAAAAAACATCAATAGACTCACAAAATTCATCGTGAATCAATAATATTTTTAAAGTTGTGAAGGCTGTTGATGAGCCAAAAACTGGTGACGAAATTGTGTGTGCATATTCGAAATGTCTTTCAAGCCACACAAACTATCTAATTATCATTTAGATGGGGCGCAATGGACAAATTGACTTTGATCATGTTTATTTCAATTATTCCAATAGACCTGAATCAACTGTTCTCAAAAATTTCGAACTTCATATCAAACCTGGCTTTTTTTGTGTTTTAGACGTTTCTCATAGGTCAAAAAATAGCATTTGCTGGTATGTGTTGCCAGTCGTTTTTGATACAATGATTCATCTTTATAATACTTGATTGTCTAGGTACATCTGGTTGTGGAAAATCAACTACGATTCAGCTATTGGAACGTTTCTATGATGTAAATGCTGGTCGCCTCGTAAGTCACTTTTTTTCTGTGCATCGATTTTCCATATGTGGTACGATTCTAGTTGACTGATTCAAAAGATATTCAAAATTTTAATCTTCAATGGTATCGATCACAAAGGAATTGCAGAAATGCCTCTATCGACATATTTTATTTCATTTTTTAGTTGATATTGTTTCTCAGCAGCCAGTTCTTTTCGACATGTCGATTCGAGAAAATATTGCATATAGTGATTATAGCCGAAAAGATATTTCACTGAATGAAATTATTCAAGTAACAAAAGATGCAAATATTCATGATTTTTTTATTGAACTTCTTCCACATGTAAGGCATCGATGATTACCCTTTTTTCGCTATGATGAAAAACGTATTATTTTTGTGCAATAGTAAAAGGGATATGAAACTATTTGTGGTGCCCATGGAACTCAATTATCAGGTGGACAAAAACAAAGAATTGGTTAGTTCATCTTAAAAATATGTTGTCACGCTAAAAGGAATTTGTTTACTTTAGCTATTGCTCGAGCTTTAATTCGAAATCGAAAGATTTTATTACTTGATGAAGGTAAATAATAGAAAGAAGAACTTTAGATATTACAATATGAGTGTATATGTTGTCTGATCGTCTAGCAACAAGTGTGTTAGATAGTGAAAATGAAAAGATTGTTCAAGACGCATTAAATCGTACAGCAATTACGATTGCACATCATTTATCTACAATTCAAAAGGTAGCCGTAGTATGTGTTCTTCATAATGGAATAATTGTAGAAAGTGGAAATCATGAAGAACTACTTGCTCTTGGTGGTCGATATTATCGATTAGTAACAAAATGACATAGAACAGGCACTTTTTTGGTTTTCGCTTTTATGACGCTTTATTTATTCTAAATAAGAGACAGCTATTTTAATAAAATTATTTACAAGAAAATGATGAATGCGTTATTCTAAAATTGACGAACGGAATTAAAAATATGCGTTTCACTTCGTCATTCTTACAAAACTCATATCTTAGTGTCTTCTGCTTTGTGAATCATTTTGTTGATAATAGTTTGTCGATACACTTTTATTTGGTCAAGACCAACGTGCAGATTTACCTTGTAATTCAATAGAACGCATCAATGTTTGACCAATCAGAATATGATAGATTCCTGGATGCAACCATTTCGAACCATCATGAGCAACGGTGAGAATAGCACTTATTTCTAATGGAAAAAAGACTTGACCAGTTTCGTTAACATTCAAATGGATACGTTTGAAACCGAATAGTTGTTTGATTGGTGGTGTTTGACCATTTCGTTTTAATTGAGGAGGCAAAATATAGGCAAGAACGACATCATCACCAGCCACAGCTCCTGTATTAGTCACATTGACTTGCAGTAGAACTGTGAGAACATGCTTTTCATCGTAATTATCTTTCATCAACAAGTCAATCGAGTAGGAAAATGACGTTAGTTGGTTGTTCCACGAATAGACAAACGTTGTGTATGAAAGTCCAGCACCAAAATCATATACTGCTTGACCGGTATAGAACTTGTAGGTTCGACCCGGATTTGTAGCAGAAGGTCGCATCTGCATGTCAGTCATACTTACTTCATCAACATATGAAGCAGGGTAGAAAGTTATCGGTAATCGTCCAGCAGGATTGTATTGACCAAAGATCACATTAGCTATTGCCAAGCCGCCAGCTTGTCCCGGGTATCCCATCCAAATAAGGCTACCATATAGAGATGAATCTCGAACGAAAGTTAAATCGATACCACTACCAGACATGATAACAACATGGATTGGCGATTGAGCAACTTCTTCAATTCGTTTCAAAAGATCGTATTGAATTCGAGGCAAAGTAATCGAGCTACGATCACAACCTTCTGCTTCGATCGATTGATCAAGTCCACCAAAGAAAATGACTACATCGGCTACACTGGCTAGTTCAATCGCTGTTGTAAAGCCACTTTCATCCGTACCAGATATTGCACAGCCATAGGCAAATTCTATATCTATTGATGTACCTGTAGAAGAAAATGACTTTGGATATTAAAAAAATGACGATTTCTATGTGACCTGCTGTGATTGACTTAAATCCTAAGACTGGATCTATCAGATATGGTGCTCGACCATAGTAATTGCTTTGCATCAAAATAGTCGCATTGACAGTTGGACCGATCAAAGCAATCTTTTTATTTTTTAATTCATTGATATTTAACGGTAAGGCATTGTTGAGATTTTTCAGTAGAACAATACTTTCTTGAGCACTATCCAAGGCAAGTTGTTGAGTCTTGACTGTATTAACATCATTTTTATTCAAATGGCGATAAAACTGTTGTTCAGGTGGATCGAACCAACCAAGACGAATAAGAGCATTATATGTTCGTTCAAGTGCTCGATCAATATCACTTTCGGCAATAGTCTTATTATCCAATGCTTGTTGAGCATAGCGTTGATAGAAAGTACCACAATCAAGATCTGTACCGGCAAGCAACGCAGCAGCCACTGTATCTTCGACAGTCGACGTAAAATGATGATCATACATGATGGTATCAATACCTCCACAATCACTAATGACAAATCCATCGAAATGGAAAGATTTTCTTTGAACAATGAAAGGGCAAAAGTGCAAACATTTAATCGTCAAAGAACATTAGTCAGAAGTATTTCTTACCGAGCTATAGTATCCATAAGAAATTTATTAGCACAAGCTGGAACGCCATTGATAGCATTGAAACTACACATAATACTAGCCACATGAACATCACGTATACATGTTTCGAATGGAGGTAAATATGTCTCGACAAGATCTTGATCTCTGACAAGAGCATTGAAATGAAATCGATCAGTGCCATTCCATTGATCGAGATCGTAGGCATCGAAATGCTTACAATTGGCACCTATCTTTATATAGCGATCATCTTCGCCACGTTGTAAACCATTGATCAATGCGTAGACATATTGTGAAGTAAGAAATGGATCCTCGCCAGGTGTTTCTTGACCACGGCCCCATCGTGGATCACGGAAAATATTGATATTCGGTGTGAAAAACGTTAAACCAGCTTGACCTTCGTTATTGAATGCTCGTGCCTCAGTAGAGATCGCATTAGCCACCCGATAGATCAAGCGCACATTGAATGAAGCACCGAGGTTGATTGGGGCAGCAAATGAAGTGGCCGCAGGTAAATCACCATCAAATGTAACTCCAGGCGCATAAGCAACGCCGTGTAGTGCTTCTGACCACCACTGATACTTCGGTATACCTAATCTTGGAATGGCAGCAGCTGTTGTTGCCATTTGTGTGATTTTTTCGGCTGTTGTCATCCGGCTGATGATATCAGCTGCTCGTTGGCGAGATGGAAGTGATTGGTCACAGATTGGCAATTGTGCCAATGGGCCAGATTGGCAATCAGGATAATTACTTGACTGAGCATACACTGATATTCTGCTCATCCACAGCAATAATAGATGTATTTGTATCATATCTACAATTAAATTTATGTCTAAGTTCGCTAAATGTATGCATTACATAAAACAAAGATATTCAGTTTTATATTCGTTCCTAATAAATAGTAGAAAATCATACTCAATTTTGCTAATAAGTGTTTCCAACTTAGACGTTTTACAATTAAGAGGTAAATCCTATGCATGCGTAAATAACGAAAAATGATGCAGAAATGTTTTAAATTCATATTTAACTGCCATCTACCTCAACTGTTTTAGGATGTATTGAGATGTACCAGAATGTTAGTAGTAACACTGAGAAGGGTCCTACATGGTCGGTGGTAGCAAGGAAAAATAGAAAAAGAGTTACCATCAAAGCAATGCTACACGTGAGCGTATTAAGACATTTTTTTTCTTGCTTTTTACTTTCTTCTCTTTTTTTTGCTACGTTCATTTGATGTTTATTGATTGAAGAACGAGAGAAAGTTGAAACATGTGCGCACCTACCGACTGTGTCCGATGTGACGATATTTGTTTTTTCTATCCGTTAACGCGTGAGTGAGAACTCTGGTACTGTCGAAACGTAAAACAAATACGATTGAAAAGCAAGAATCACCAATTTATAGTGATACTTATCGTTCTTTACTCAATGTCTAAAATAATAGAAAATAAATTATCATCTGAGATAAGTTTAAGTATCTTTATGTGGTCGATTCATATTTTAGGATAGAATCGATTCTCTCAAATAAAAAGTATCATATACCTTCAGTTAACTGGTGCACGCAAACATAGAAACAGTGTGTATTTTACGAGCCGTATTAGTTATAATGTGCAACATCGGTAAGAAGTTCAACATTACTCGTTCTTTTTTTTTCATTTTTCTTTTCTCTTTCTTCAACCATTTTAACTCATTGAATGAAGGCTATCGTTGACACAGTGACTGAGTGAGAATAACTAGCAAGGCTGGTAGAACACATTACAGCGAATCTATTCACAAAAAGAGTCGAATCCTGAACAAAGATATGCTACTTAAAATGGAAATAATCACGAAAGATTCGCATTCACTTTACTAAATTGATACTAAATCAAATTTTCGTAGTTCAATACTTACAATGGAGGTGTTTGTATTGTAAGTTGAAAAGACTAGATATTTTTACATCAAAAGAAAGTTCTCACCGCCAAACTAACAAGGTTAAAGTATTAGCTCCCTTTGACTTGTCTTGAGGGAGATATTCGATTTTTCAGTGAATTTTCTCTACAGGACCGGCTTTCCCAACAAAATCTTATTTTCGAATTTGGACCTGAAACTTTGTATGCATGAAAGTCT